AAGGGAGGGAAGGAAAGGAGGGAGGGAAGGAAAGGAGGGAGGAAAGGAAAGGAGGAAGGGAGGGAAGGAAGGGAGGGAGGGAAGGAAAGAAGGAAGGGAGGGAAGGAAAGGAGGGAAAGACGGAAAGGAGGGAGGGAGGGAAGGAAAGAAGGAAGGGAGGGAAGGAAAGGAGGGAAAGACGGAAAGGAGGGAGGGAGGGAAGGAAAGAAGGAAGGGAGGGAAGGAAAGGAGGAAGGGAAGACGCAAAGGGAGGGAAAGGAGGGAAAGAAGGGAGGATGGGAGAGAGGAGGGTTGGAGAGAAGGAAGGGAGGGAGGGGTAAAATTGAGAGGCAGGAAATGCAAAATCAGCGGGTGGGTGGGTGGAACAGAAGCCAAATGCCTCCAAGGCAGTAGTGTTGTAAACCTCCTTGATGCTACTTGGGAACAAATGAAGTTAAAGCTTCTAAGAACGAGGAGGGCCCGTAGGTTTGGTTCTTTGGCAGGAGTGGTTTCGCTTTTTTTTTGGCCAACAGAAGTATTCGTACGTTGCACCTATGGGTTGCGACCATAAGCGGGGAGTGTTGTTTTAGTTGATGCTGAGCTGAGCAAATCCAATAAGTTTGCCATCATCGGGGATTTCGGATGCTTCCACGCCTGATGCCTGAAAGGCAAGGAGACGGAATCCATTATTTTACCAGGACATTTGAAGGACAGAGAGAATGGCCTTGAGGGACAGGAGGCAAAGCTACGATCAAGACCAGAGTCAGGTTAAAAAAAAGGGAAAATGAGTCCAGATCAGGAAATTTAAGAAAATCTTGCCTAGTTCTCACAAAGATAAAGGGAGGGAGGGATGACAAACACTCAGGTTTGCAAGACTGAATAACTAGAGGTATTCCTCAACTTATGGCCACAATTTGAGCCCAAACGTTCTGTGGCTAAGTAAGAGAGTTGCAGTAGTTAAGTTAAGTAACACAATTGTTATGAACCTGGTTTCCCCTTTGACTTTGGATGTAAAGTCTCAAAGGGGGAACCGCATGACCCCCCCCTCCCCAAGGACACTGCAACCGTCATATGCACCTGTCAGTTGCCAAGCGGCCAAATTTTGATCACATGACCATGGGTTGTTAAGTGTGAAAAACAGCCATAAGTCACTTTAAAAAAAAAATACCATTGTAATTTCAAACCTTCACAAAACAAACTGTTGTAAATCCAGGACTTGCTTTAAGATAAAAGTAGCACAGTCCTGGCAGGGCTGACACAGGGGGGGTAACGGAAGTATAAATAAAGAATCTCCAGGTTTTGTAGTAAGTGAAAAATTATCTTGTGTAATGAAAATATATCCCCTTTAATGGAGAGACTCAGGCTGTGATGTTAGTCTCCATTAAAGTTGATATTCTGGGTAACCTTCAAAAGAATGAACTGCCATATTTTTCGGAGTATAAGATAGATCTTTTTCCCTCAAAAAACAGGCTGAAAATCTGGGTGCGTCTTATACACTGAATACAGCATTTTTTGCCTCCCAAAACCCTACCCACTTTGCAAAAATGGCTGTACATAGCCTTTAGGGGGCTTCCAGAGTGCTCCTGGGGGCTGGGGAGGGCAGAAATGAGTGAAAAAATGGGTCTTTTTTTGCTCATTTTTGCCCCTCCAGCCCCAAGAGCTCTCTGAAGGCCTCCTACAAACTATCCATGCCCTTTTTCTTGACATAAACGGGCCCATTTTTGCAAAGAAAGGGCCATTTTTTTGCTGGGGGGGGGGGCACCCCCCAGTACTCTATAAGCCTCCTAAGGGCTATTCATGCCCTTTTCTAAAAAAACGGCCTCATTTTAGCAAAAAACTGGCCTTTTTGGGAGATTTACAGAGTGTAAAAACTTTTTTTTAAAAAAAATTTCCTCTTCAAAACCTTGGTGCGTCTTATACTCCGGTGCGTCTTATACTCCGAAAAATACGGTATCTTGTGAGTCGGGGAACTACTTCCTTTGTGAATCTGCTTCAAAGATCTAAGTCCAACTTGAATTTAGTTGGTCCTTCTCTTCGCCAGTTTAGTACTGAACTTCAGTTGATTAGATTCTTGTCCATAATAAGCTTGACAAATAAATTCTTTCTGAACTGCAACTATGGTCCTGATCCTTTGTGCTTGACATTAATCTTGAATTATTTGACTAGATTAATGAAGGAGAATATTTGTAACGCAGGGTTGAAATGAGGGGGTCCTTGGTGCTCTCTGAGCTTGGCTGTTTTCTTGCAGATGTTTCATTACCCCAAAATAAGTAACATCATCGGTGCTAGCGAGGTTAGCACTGACATAGCACTAGTGATGCTGCAAGAAATCACATCTGCAAGAAAACAACCAAGCTCAGAGAGCACCAAGAACTAAATTGAAGTCAGATGCAAAGGATCACGACCATACGGTAAACTTTGCAGTTCAAAGATTTAACACTCAAGAATCTAGTCAACTAAAGTTCAGTATTAAATAGGTGACAGTTACGGTCAACAAATTTCAAGAAGGATTGCATTTGGTGGTGATGTAACTGTCAAGCACAGGAAAATCAGGAATTCAGAGAGTTCAAATGTAGTTTTATTGTATACTAATACTGTCTACAAGAAACAACTGAATAGTCAAAGGAAATTGGCAGTAGATAAGAGCCAACAGAATTCAAGGTGGACTGAACTGAGATCTCTTATGGGTACGAAGCAGAGGTGGGTTCCTACCACTTCGCACCTATTCGGTAGAACCGGTTCGTCAAATCTACCGAACCGGTTAGAAGAGGTTCCACCAGTGGACCCGNGATGTTTTCGTCGCGCTGTGATGACGTCAAATGCGCGCTTTCGTCGAGCGCGATTTTGTACTCCGCGGTTTTGTGGTGGAACCCATTTCTCCTTAAGCTGCTCATCTGCCATCTTGGGGTACCCCAATTCAGGGCCGCCACCACCACCACCACCACCCCCATTTCAGCAAGAGATCCTCTTTCCACATGATCGCACCTGCGCATGGATATTGGGACTAGGGCTGTGCACTGTAGTGACAATAACATCACTGGCTCCAGAGAACTTCTGGCCAACCAGAAGCAGAAGTTTGGGGAGACCATTGTCTCGCGGAGCCTCCGAGAGCCGCTTCCCTCATCCAGGTGAGGCCTATCCCAAACAGTGGGCCAAGAATGGTTGACTTCCACCCCTCCTGAAGGGGAAAATCGAGAAAATGATCTCCGGGTTTCATTCAAGGATATACCATAGCTTGCTTGCTCATATGCGCCAGGGTGAGAAAATTTGGAAGTTTTGGGGAGGTCACACATAGACACAAAAGGACACAGCCCGAGTAGTACTTCCCCCCGCCCCGCAAACATCCACCATTTCCCACCCCCACGGCTGCTGTCTAAACATTTCTCATTTTCAAATCTTTTCTTCCATAGATGTCCACATCTGGAGCAGGTCTGCTAATGACCTATGAGCAGATCTAGCCAAAACAAAAATTAGAGGTGAACAACAAATATATGAAGCAATAACCGGGCTTTCGTTGCTGCTTGGGAGAGGGAAATTTATTGCATCAGAAAACTTGAGAATCCCAGCCTCCATGTTTTCCACTTGCCCTGAGGGGAGCCAGCGTGAGGCGCTAACTTCAACCCTCTCGGGAGATTCAATGCGGACATAAGTGAGGGCGTATAACAGCTCCCCTCCCCAGTCTTCCATAACATGTTGCGAGGGCATTTATCGCTGTCCTTAACCTGAGCTAAAAACCAGGTTTGGAGGCTTAAGTGTCATGGTGGTTCAACTATAGTAATTGAAACAAGAGGAGGAGGAGGAGGAGGAGGGGCATTATAAAAACAGTTCATAATCATTTCACTGGGGGCCCCACACCCTACCTTACTAAAACGCTACATCCAGGGATGAGACTTAATTCCATTGGTCTGCTATCCAAATTAATATTAAGGCGAAAACAATGTGGAGTTACAAAACACTTCAAAGTTAAGCAGTGATACACATAAGCTGGAGGGGGTGGAGGGGGTGGGGGGAATGGCTGCTATAGAATGGCAAGGGGGAAAAAAATCCATTAGCATTTTATTGTTCACATAGTGCATTATAAATGTTTCTTTTCTCCCCAAACTAAATATATAACTTATAGGTTAAAAATCCAAAACAACGGAAAGGAAAAAAAACAACAACAACAACCCAGATACTAATATTGTCTTAAAAAAACAAACGAACACTAAATATGAGTTATAGTGGCTTCATTTACCCTAATGTTGACCAAACTTTTGATATGTGAGCTGAGTTTTTTTTTTCTTTAAAAAAAAACAAAACACCTTACTATTGGCAGATTCCAAGCAGTGCAGCAAAGATAGAAAATTGACTTTGCCAGCTATGTCTTTAAACTGGCAATTTCATTTATTGCTGTAAAAACTGAGCAGGAGCAGTTCCATATGTACCACTCTATAAAGGAAGAAGGACATAAGAAAGATAAAGGATTTTTTAAATGAAATAAGTGGGGTTTTTTTTTGGGAGATTAAAATGGGAATCAGGAAACCACCTGCAGTGGCCGGTGATAGAAAGACTCATGTTTACAGACTTCCTAATGGCCAGTCCATACGATCGATTTCCCCTCCGTCCACATGGAAAGGACATTTGGTTTTTACCAATGGTCACAATGAACCACACCTGGTGGCCTTTAACTACTAGTAGCAACTTGCAAGACAATCTCAACAGCCTACTTTGCACAGGAATCTCTTCACCCAAAAAAACCAATTGCAGAGACAAACCGGAAGGACGAGAAAATCATGTAGACTAACCAGAGATTCTTCCGCAAGAAATCGGCATAAGGTAAGGCTGCACCTTAAATCTTCTGTCAGAGCCTCAAATTTTCTGAGGATTCAGATTGCGAGAGTTTTAAGGAAGCTGGAAATTACTTCAGGTTAATGGGGTAGATTTCTCTTGGTGGAAAACAAGAGAAAATTGTTTTCCGCCAAGGGATTTTTTCAGGGATATTTGCAGAAGAGTTGGAAGCCAGGCAACCAAAGGATAAAACAGAAAGACTGAAATTTTGTTTTCTGAGAAAAGTTCCGTGTTCAGGAATATCCGTGCTGGCTGTGCCACTCTCCATTTTTTGTCCAGATAACCAATTGAGCGTAAGCAACTTCCAGAATGAAATAAGGAGAGAGAGATGAGGAAACGTACACCATATCGATATTTGGAATGGGACATCTTCTGGTCCTGTAAGCTGCAAAATCCTCCCTTTGGCCTGATGGGAGGCGAGTTTCTATGTAGGGTCTCTGCCTCTTGCCCCAGAATTGCTCTATCCATTCCTGCAATTGTCAAAGCTGCTTAGATTAGGATGAAGAAAACGTTTTTGGCACCAGATGTTTCAATCGTTGTGTCTGTAATTTTGGAAGCCTACGAGCACAGGGCGAGTGGGGAGAAAGCCCAGCGAGGCAGCCAATTGAGGATGGAGGAAACACAGCTACACAGAAACGTGACGTTTCTTCACCCATAACGTGTTTGCAAAATAGAAGGGGGGGGGGGGGGAATTAAGGCTAGTTTCATCTCAGGCCAAGCAATTCTGAATATAGAAAAGGTTGCTTAAACCAAAGGATTTCACTTATTCAAGGCTTCACTCAGTTTTCCACAGTAAATTCAACCTGTATTCTGACACTCCACAACAGCTTCCAT